ACTTTCCACTTATCGACTCTCATCAACGGAGTGATAGGTCCATAAAAATACTGTTAGGTTAACATCACACCTCTAACAGTCAAACCCCCCAATGAACTTGTTAATCCTTTTTCAACAAGAATAGCAAGTTGTCATTATAAAATCCCCAACGGATTAAATATTTTCTGGAATTATCCTAGTGATAATAAAGAAAATTTCTGAATTTCACTCTAAGTGAAAATTCATGCCAAGTTAATATTACACCTCTGGCGCTTCCAACTTTCTTTCAGTGTTTCAAGTAACACAGGAAGAAATAACGACAAAGTCTACGTATTCAACATCGTAGCACCAAAATCCATGCCTTTTACGTATGGGGGACTTTATCTCGATCCCTAATTAGAGATAAGCCTACGCCTAACACACGTTGCCGGTTCGTCTTTTTCCGTAAAAATGACAAAGTCCATGTATTCAAAATCATAGCATCAAGTCTAAGAGGGTTCATTCTCTTAGCATAACGGTACATGTGGAACGGACTTAGACAATCCACATGCTAGCCCGACTCAAACGGTAGTCGGTAAAGGCTTATCAAATCCGTTAATGGCTGAGAGGTTGCCAAAAATCCTATGCCCGTTTGCAGGCCCATCAGCTTAATGGATGTGAGCCGAGACTTAAAACAGATGAGCCAAAGACAAGTCTCAAAGACTTAGTCAAAAATGCACGGAAGCCACTTCCATGTCTCAAGTCAAAACGCCGAAGTCAGCCCCGCGATGCAAAAACCGAACGCCGAGGTCACACCCGTGTTCCAAATTCAAAATGCAGGGTCTAGTGCCGAGGTCACACCCATGTTCCAAATTCAACATGCAAGGATGAGACCCGCATCTCAAAGTTCAAAATGCAGGGTCCACCCCCACAGTCCAGAAGTAAGATTATGGCGCATACCTTCACACAGGTCCTACGTGGAAAATGCCTTCAACCAAGATGCCTTCGAAGCGAGTGCAGAGAACAAATCCTTTACCACAAGGAATCAACAGCTCCAAGATCAGAGTTGAGATCCAAAGTATTCCGAAAATTCGTCCCAGTCAACCGCGAACTTTTGAAAACTTTGGAGGGGGTTCTGTAGGCTGTCTAAAAATCACAATAGATAGCTGATCCCCATCAAACATCGATGATGGAAGTTACAATCTGACGACTTCCAGAAGGTTATAATTTGAAGACTTTCACGTAGATCGCTAAAGTTTATAATCTGACGACATTCACGACAACTGATGGAAGCTCTAATCAAACAACCTTCATAATCAATATCGGGAGTTACAATCTGATGACTCTCATATATCAGAGAGCTAAAGCAAAGATTACAAAATGACGATCTTTGCAATGCTTAGACAGAAAGAGACTACAAATCGACGGTCTCTTCAAATCAAACTGTGGAAGTCCTCCCCGCACACCAGCATCAAGACGAATCGCGGCCACGAACGCAGCTCCAACCGCTGCTCAACGCAGCTCCAAGCGCAGTTCAAACGCAACTCTAAAAGCTGCAAACGCAGCTCCAAAAGCTGCAAACGCAGCTCAGATTCGGCCGCTAACGCAGCTCATGTTCGGCCGCAAACGCAGCTCCAAAAGCTTCAAACGCAGTTCATGTTCGGCCACAAACGCAATCTCCGAAAGCTATCAACGCAGCTTTCACCTACCGACAAACGCAGCTCCCAAGCTGTCAAACGCAGCTTTCAACAAGATGCCAACGCAGCTTCTAAATTACTGCGTCTGAGCTTCCAAACACTGTGTTTGAACGCAGAATTCGCATCAGAACATGGATTTTGCGTTTGACTTGTTCAAACACAAGCTGAACGGTTTCAAAACCGTTTCCCACGATCTGAGGGGATCACAACTCCACTCAGGAGTGATTTAAGGGAGGGTTACATCCCATTAGCCCCACTTAGGAGCGAATTAAGGAGGTGGTTACACCCCTTAATCCCCTATAAATAACTAAAAATCAATTCAGTTCAGGTGCGGTCTGTTGGAACTTCTTGGCAGCAAAAAGATGATCCTTCATCCTTCGGTTGGAGCTTTGGAGATCGGCAACAAGATCTTCTTCATCCTTGGCTTATAACCAACTTTCGGTTAAATCAACTCTTTCATAGAGTTTTAAACTCGTTCAGAGTTCTCCACAACGTCAAATCGTGAGGAGAAGACCACGTTCCAGTGAAACAAGACATCGGATCGTCAACGAGAAGCAAACTCGACGCGAGCATTCGAGGGAGGCATATCATCGCCACCGTGAAGAACCCAGAATTAAACAAAGGAGAGAATCCAGATCATTCTCTTCTCTTTTGTAATCAGGAAATCCAATTGTAACTGAGATTAAAGGAATACAAATTAATTTTCTTTCATTTCTTTTACTGCAAATTTTCCCACAAACATCACCATCCTCTTCAATGAAATTGTCCTCATGCAACAACTCATTACCCAGATCTTCTATGGCGACATAGTTATGAAGTATAGCACATGCAATAACTATATCAACTTGAGTTGGAAAAGAGTAATGTGACTTTGCAGATAAGATTTTGAAACGATTTTTCAATATTAAAAAAGTTGATTTAATTTTAGACCATAGAGATGAGTGTCTTAAATTTTGAATAACTCTTGTCTATTATTGATTAGCCTACTCTCATGCTCATTTAAATGGTAACACACTTCTCGATATGGGGAGATAAAGCTAGTCATAGTAGTGTAGCCCGCATCACAAAAATAATATTTCCTCCTACAATTACCAAAAAGAAATTTAGTAAAATTTTTAATTTTAATTAAATAGACGTACTTTATTTGATTGATTTATTATCATCATAGACTCTCAATCCGTGAGGTTGTGGTCTAGATAGCGTGTCTTGCAAAATTCTATAATCATTTGCAGATCTCTCCCATCCGGCTAGAACATACAAAAATAACATATTGGGAGTGCATGCAGCTAGAACATTTTGAGTTACACCTTTACAACCTCTAAAATTGCAACAAGTCTAGCGGGAAGCATGGCGTAGATATGTGTTCTGTCTATCATACCAATGCAAATCCTATATGATGTATTAAATAGTTATTCATAATAAAAAATTAAGTATTACATTATAAGTAGTTATATTATCGTAGTGATTACCTTGAAATAAGGATAGTACAACGGGTTAGTGACAATCTTCGACGATACTTCATTTGGTGCTTGCTTCCTATACCACCCCCTTAAATGACCAACGGCTTCTAAACACTTGTTAAAGTATCTTAAAATTATTCCCCCCGCTCTTATGAAATTCTTATGAAATGTGACCTAATAATTCTATTTTTGGTTTTATGGCTTAATATGTTAAGGAACATGATTAATGGTTCTTTTACTTTAACATCTCATGTATCTTTTAGTAGGCCAGTATATATTGTTATTCTAACGAGATTTTCAAATGCATGGGGCTTCATTCTAACATAATTCTACAACTCTCATTATACCCATTGAACTCACGGTTTATATGCCAAAGTCTAGAATCTATCCAATCTTTTTTCCCTGCCTTAGGTTGATAAGTGATTGATTTCCTTCTACAACGTATCCTCACTAAACAAACAAACACACTAATGACGGCAGAGATAGTAGCATTAGAAGACAACTTCATTAACATTTCTTCATCAATGTCGTTCATCTACATGGAAGTAAAGTATACATGTTCAACTTATTCTCACCCAAATTAAAACAATTAAAAAGGACTATAGATGGCTTCATGACATGCAAAACATATCATTAATTGAACAAATACAAAATTAGGACTATAAACCCAATCTTACAATTGACAAGAAATAAAGAGTAGAACATTCTCCTAAAATAGTAGAGTAAAATCAACCCCAATACATAAATAGAGATTTGGGCGAAAATAAGAGCAAAACCCATTCATTCTCCTCTCTTTCTCCTTCTCAACTATGTCATTTAAATCAAACAAAACAATGACAACAATGATAAAAACAAGGAAACAAAAGTAACCCATTCAACCCCCCACCCACAAATGACTGAATCAATCTAACCCAAACAGCCCAAATCATCACTCAAACAACCCAAATCATCACCCGCATCAATCCCTTCCCAAATCAACCTCCCTCTTCACAATCCAACCCTCCTCGGCTTTGTCCTGTCCTCCAACCCAATATCAGAAACAGAAAATAAAAATTACTCTAAATTGGTGGGAAAAATCATCGCCCGCAGCAGATTTGAAGCAATCAAAATCAACACAAATCCTAATTGGAAAACCTTAATACAAATCAAAGCAATCAAAAATCCTAGAATATGAGAATCCTAAAATCCCGAATCAATAGAAACCCCCAATCATCAGGAATTTAGAGAGCGGGTGTGAGATTTATATCTGCAGCATCGGAGAGAATCAGTTGTAACCCTAGAATTCTGAATCATCAGAAATCCCCAAAATAATTTCACCAAAACCTCTGTTGTTTTCACCTCCAAATCTCCTTGTAAACCAAAGATACAGCGGAAACGGAGGAGACATGTAAGATTTGGTTGGAAAAATATTAAAAAGAAATGAAGAACGTTAGGGTTTGATAGTGGGAAATAGAGGAGGCGGGTAATAAAGGAGGGAGACAAAAATTTTGGCGGGGACTCTATGGTTGGGACAGAGAGATTTTTGGAATCTGATGATGTGTTTTGATGAGGTGGAGTGGGTTTGTTAGAGGTCTAACTCATATCCTCTCTCAATGAGGGAATTTTACAAATTCTAAAAAAATATTAGTATTTTTATAATTTAGAGATCCAACGTCCAAAAATTTGTTTTGAAACAAACCAAGTTTAGGGAATCCTAAAACTCTGACAAAGCTCACTTTTTCATTAGTTTGAAACAAACATCCCCTGACGCTAATTCGCCATTCCCATCTCCATCGTGTCCCGCCATGGCGACCCTCGAACAAAGAGATTGGGCCCACCTCCCACCCGAGCTCCTCGGATCAATCGCCGCCCGCATCACCCAGATCCCCGACCTCATCCGCTTCGTCCCACTGTGTCCTCCCCCCTCAATCCCCATGGCTTATTCTCCCTAGCGATGAAAAAGCCCGCAGCCACCGCCTCTCCTCCAACCCCGCCGACGACCGAAACCGAGCCTACAAGATCCTTCTCCCTGAAGCTCTCTGGGCTCGTCGCCGCATAGTCTACTCCGGCGCCGGTGGCTGGATCCTCACTTTCCAAAACACCCAAACCCTAGCTTTGTTCAATCCTCTGACTCACTCCTCCATCTCTCTCCCTCCGCTGCCATTGACCGAGTGGGACAAGAACATGACAGGTTATTTGTACATGAGAGCTAAGACCTTCGGATCCCATCTCTTCGCAGCCCTTTTCCCCAATCTTGGTGACATCTTCCTCTGCGGGCTTGGTGAGAGCTCGTGGAGGAGGATCCAAGGACATCATTATGATTCAGCTACTGATTTTGTATATCACGATGGAAGACTCTATGTCAGGAGTTGTAATGAAATCACAGTTTTTGACCCGCGCACTCTTGAAAAGCTCGGGGGGGTTTATGTTCGATCCGACTCGGTTCGTGATTACCTCGTTGAATCTCCTCAGGGGGAGTTGTTGTTGGTGGGGAGGAAATATAAGAGTGACTGTAAGAGATTCAAAGTGTTTTGGCTGGATTCAAGCGATGAGAAAATTGTTTCTGTTGAGTTAACTAGTATAGGCGACAATGTGTTGTTTGTGGATGAAGTTCAAGCTATGGCTTTTTCTGCTGGAGATTTGGAGGGTTGTAGATGGAATTGCATTTATTTTGTGGACGGTCTTGGCGAGGAGGGAGATAAGGGGCTGATGTTGTTTGACATCGAAAAGGGCCAGGTTGAACATGCCCCGTTGTTTACGTTTACTTCTGAAGAGTGTGGACGTTGGGGAAGAGCTACGTTGGCTGGTCCAAGCCTTGATTACTGATTTTGTTGAAATGAGCAAGGCTTCTTCTAGGTAACTTTTGCGGTTATTTTCCTTATTTATGTTTTGTGTAAATGAACTCTAATCCATTGATCAAGATTGCTTGTTTGCTTTTCTTTATTAATATTGTTATTGCTAAAAAATCCTTTTGAGTTTAATTGCAAAAGTATTGTTGTGCACTTGAGAATGAACGCACACACGCTCGCTCAGCCAGGTGGGTGGGTGGATGAGGGGGCGTGTGCATACATTTGTGCATGCATGTGCCTACCCGTGTGTCTACACACACATATGTTTACACACGTGATCGCGTTTTCAATCCACCTACACAAGCGCATTGTTTTCTCTTGGTATACATAGGGCATGATGGTTGTCCATGGTAAATCACTAAGAAAAATGAGCCGTCACCTCATTGAACAGTACCAGACACTCGTTGGACATTCTTTGAGTATATTCATACATTTATTCACATATGCACTCTATTATATAATATATTTTTTATTTTAAATCACTTGTCATACTCTTCTTGGATGTGTATCCTATACTTCATATTAACTTCGTGAAACTTGTGGCCCAATGGGCATGAATTGGATTTGATTCAGCCCATATCCAGTAACTATGATTTTAAAGGATCGTTTGGGCATCTACTTCAAACTCGAGCCTTGTCCCTGTGTTCTACCTTTTACAAATTTGTCATGTCGTGTAAATATGCTGCACCCATATTCGAACCTGTTCAATGGAACATTTGGATGCTGATAGCTTTTAAATAGGATACTGAGGTAATAGGATGTTCCATGTTATGTTTATGCTTTCCTGCATCCAAAATGTTCTAATGAGTTGTTTATTCTCTGTGAAATATGAAGAGGAGAACACATAGTTTGGTAGGATCTTATAAAAAAACTCATCAATAGGAGTGCATGTTTAATTAGAATTGGAAACATCTTAACTTCTCATGTTTTCTGTCGATGCACTTTTTATAAACGCGATCTATGATATTTCGTTTTTGGGTTTTTCTAATATTGGTCTCCCAAATCGTTAGTATTCATTTCCCAAACCTTAAGTATTTGAATTAAGTTTTGCCATACATGTATAACTCAAATAATTTGCTAAAGCTTATTTGTTGTACCAAATGGATCCTTCATGTTAGAATTTATTGTCTTCCATAATAAACTTACGACTAGTATAGTTTCCCATTGCACCCTCGTATTCTCTATAAAATTTCAGCCAATATCTATAACAGTCATCTCTCCTAACCCATTGGAATCAAATCTAATTCCTTCATTTTTCTCACTTCTCTTTATTTCTTGCACTTGTTTTCATCTCCTCGCTCTAGTTTTGGTGTTTTTCCTTTGGTAATTGTTGTAAATATTGGGTTTTTAGTGATTTCCAGATCCGAAAAAATGTCAAGTTCACACAACATATAATTTGTGAAGAAGAGGGTATAATGGAAAATTTAATGATAGTAAGTTTATTTGGAATTAGGAATGACATATCTTAATCTGGGAGATCTATTTGATACAATTATGAGATTTAGGTGGCTTATTTAGTCTACACGTGCTTTAAGAAGTTATTGTAAAATACTTGCAATTTGGAAGACAAATATGAGAAAATCCTTTTTTTCCCCTATATCTTTAGTGAATTTTGTATGACACATGTAATTTGCAAACTCTATCCATGCCTATTGCACTGCTTAAGCAAATAATAACAGGAATCAATAACGTCTGTAACTGCTCTGTCATCTAACATGGAATTTAATCCCAAAATCCAGGGTTTGTAGTGTATTTCAAAGCAAAGAGGCGGTTTTCCTGGCTTTTAAGGTAGTTTCACTTGTTCCTCACTACTAATGTTTTGGGTATCTTTTTCATTTTCTGAAATTTCATGTCACTTTTTCTTTTTACCCCCTTTCCAATTTTGACAATGAAGACCACTGGTTGTAATTTCTTGATGCATTATTTATGTATTTATTTATCGACAAGGATAAGTACGAGCCTACTGAACAGAACACTTCCTCTAGATTTGGACCCTAGATCACTGGTCTATCTTGCTTGCTCTGTATAACATTCCAAGATCCTCTTGCTTGAAGTATTCATGATTTTCTTTTTCAATTTTATTGTGGAATGAGCATTAGCCTTTATTTTCAATTTTATGGATAACAATCATGAGAAATAAATACAAACTGTTCGAATGTCTTCTTCAGGATTGATCTGTGATAGAGTCTTATAGCTTAGACGAGTCTTTAAAAGTAGATTGAGTTGAAAGAGTGGTATTGTGCACTGTTTTCTTTACTTTGGAGCAGATCAAAGGATGAGTAAGTCTCCTCTTAAGTTAGTTCTTCTGTTATTGCAAAAGAGAATCTCATAGATACTATTAGTTATGTTAAGAGTCCATTAATATTTTGATCTATTGCAAAAGAGAATCTCATAGATACTATTAGTTATGTTAAGAGTCCATTAATATTTTGATCTATGTAGATCTGAATTAATTATATATTTTTTGGACAGGATAGTACAGTGGTTATGGGAAGAGTTTGATATGTTAGATGGTGTCAACTTCACCTAAAGTTATGGTTTGATTGATGATGGAAGAGGACATGAAGTGTGTTTTAGACTTGAGTTTTGTTTGAAGGGAGTAAATTCTCTTGGTTCTGTATCCTGTTTAAGGTTCAACTGTGGTAGATTATTGTTACAAAGTTGTCACGTTCTTTGAGCTTTTATTGTTTAGTCCTGCTTTATGTGTGCACTGAATACACCTCAAGATGTACTTTGTGTTTTCGTGTTATCATTTTCTGAGGAAATAAAGCTTTTGAGTGTCGTTTACTTCCAGTTCTATTCTACTTGCTCTGTCTCTGAATGTCGTTTGGATCACTATCCTGAGATATGACTGAAAGCCATTGTAAAATGATGCTTTCACGAATTAGATTAAATTCACAGAGCTAGGGTACTTGCTACCACATGCAAAATTATTCTGATCATGAAGAAGACATATGAAGGGATGGTAAAGACTTAACTGGCATGAAAAAATTTATGTATAAGCTGAAACTGCATGATAATAGAAGAGGTGACGAAGTACGCTTGCCTCCTGAAGGTTGTTTGAAGAGATTAGATTTTGTTGGTTCTGTATCGCGTTAAGGATTTCGATTGAGTCTGAGCTGTGACTGTGGTAGAGCATTATTACAAAGTTTTCATTTTATTTGAGCTAGTATTGTCTGAGCTATTCATGCTTTATGTATGAAGTGAAAATATCTCGACATGTACATTGAATGTTGTGTTATCAGGTTCAGTGGAATTGAGATTTCAAGAGTGCTCCATTTGCAGTTCTATTATGTCTCTGATTGTAGTTTGAAGTTTCAATCACTTTCTTGCGATACATTGGCTTTCCATGATGAAAACATTTTTATACCTCGTTTATTCGTTGTCTATGTATGGGTTCTTGTTTGGATAGAATTTGGGGCGAGATGGTTTGTTGAGTTCTTTGCCAGTAGGGGTGCAAACGAACCGAATAATTAACAAATAGTTCATTTAATACTAAACAAAAAAGTTTTAGTATTCGAATTCATTAACGAATAGTATTCTTCCATATGTATATTTGATTCGTTTGCTTATTATATATTTGCGTAAAATTTGATCACTTATAATTTATATTAATACACACATCATGTTATATTTTCAACTCACTTAAAATTTCTGCTTAGGCTCTATATGCTAATTTTGTGAGGCTTAGTAATCTTATATCAGCTTTTTAATGGAATATTTAAATTAAATACATTTACACCATAATTAGAAATGAACAATTCATTGAAAAAACAAATTCTTTAGCGAAATGAATATACTTTAATGTTCGATAAATATTCGTGAATATTCATGAATATTCATCAATTACCAAGTATTTGAGTTTGAATTCGAAAAACTCCACATATTGATATTTGAATCCAGATTCGAATTTGACAATTTTGAACAAATACAAATACGAACACATTAGCATTCGATTCGATTCGATTATTTACCACCCCTAGAATTGTCAGTTCTTTGAAAGGAAATGTAAAATGAGATGAGGATTGAGGGGATAATAAGTAAAAGATGGAGGACAAAAAGGAGTCGGTCTTATAGCGTTGAATCCTGCGAGAAGCCAGCAAATGGTAAAGCAATGCGGAGGTCTCGATCGAGTTTTATAATTAATATTAAAAGTATTAAGGCAATTATCATTGGTCATTCATGCAATTAGTAAGAGTTGATTTAGATGTCCAAAATATAGCAATTGAATGATTGAAATGGTAATAGATATTTGAATCCATATTCCCCTAATCACGGTGGATCCCCAGATGGGCCAGATCAAGCTCTTCCTTAACGAAAGGAGGTTGTGGAGTGAAAAGGAGGTTCTTGTTTATTCGAGCCCAAATCTCATGCCGTTCCTCAGCGAGACCCCACTCCGAGATATGTGAAACACTAACACAACCCTTTTGCATTCATGTAATTAAGTGTTTGGTTGCATTGTTTTTGAGAAATGTTTTCTCAAAAGTACTGACGCATGGCATTTATGTAATTAAGAGTTTTCTATACATTTTTATAAACTGTGTTTGGCTCCAAAAAAATTTACAGAAATGTTTTCTGTAAAGTGCCCAAAAGTACCAAATTTTATGGAAATTGATTTCCTTCTAAAATGTGAGGAAATCTCTTGGAAATCTGACGCATTCATTATTTAAATAATAAAACTCATTAACTCTTTTCTACAAAGTTCTCACTTTTCTATAAAGTTGGTGGTGTTTGGTTACATTTCTATAAATTATAGGAAATATTGCTATTTTCCCAAAAGTTATTTCTCATTTTCTTGTTTTGAACCAAACAAGCATAATACAAAAAATAAGAAAATTTGTACTTTTTAACTTCTCAAAACTTTTCCTATAATTTTTTTAAGAAATACAAGGAAATCAAATTTGGGATGAAAAACATTTCCTATAATTTATAGAAATGTAACCAAACACCCCATAAGAGTTGAAGAAAGAGGTGTAAGTAGTGATGAGAGAGAATAAGTGGTAAATTTAGTGTCCCACTCATCCTCTCCTCTCTCTTTATCTCTTCTTCTTGTATATTGTCCTTAGGTCAGTGGTTAGCAAAATCCTACTGGAGAATGCAAAAGGGAAAATTTTGAAGGTCATGATTAATGCATAGGAGAACAAATAATGCACTAATTGTTAGCTTCTTGAACTTCTCATTTGAAAGCTATAAAAAGGGTTGTGTTAGTGTTGAGAAAGTCACTCTATTGTGGAAAAATGGAGGATCCTCTTATTCTCGGATTTTTTTTGTTGTGAGATGATAAGTGATGGAAGCCTCTTGAAGCTCTTGAGTGTTTGGTGGGCTGCTACGGTCCCCCTTTAAGTTGACATAGAGATGTGGCAAAATGTAGATATAACACGACGCGCTAGAAGAACAAATCCCCGACCTCATCCGCTTCAGTTCCGTATCGCGTCCAATGCGATCCGCCGCCAAAACCATTCCCCAGTCCCCCGCCCCCCCCCCCCCCTCAAATCCATGGTTTCCTCCCCGCGCCGATGAACGAATCACCACCCACCGTCTCTTTTTCAAGCTCGCTGGCAACCGAACCGCAATCCTCTCTCCCTGAAGCTCGCTACGGCCGTTGCCAACATACATACACTGCCCCGGCTCCGTCGGCTGGCTGCGCTCGCTCCCCAAGGCGTCAAAACCCTAGCTTTGCTTAATCCTCTGACGCACTCCTCGATCTCCCTCCCACCGCCGCTTTTGGCCGAGCGGGGGGCTACTTATTGGCTCACAAAAGCTAAGCTTTTCGGATCTGATCTTTTCGCAGCTCATTTTCCTAACGTTGGTGATATGTTCCTCTGCAGGCTCGGTGAGAGCTCATGGAGGAGGATAGAAGGAGAGCGTTATAATTCGCGTGTTGATTTTGTATATCATGACGAGAGATTCTATATCAGGCGTTTCTCTGTAATCTCAGTTTTTGATGCGCATGCTCTTAAGAAAATCAGGGAGGTTTATGTTCCGTCAGGCTCTATTCGTGATTACCTCGTTGGATCCCCGCAGGGGGTTGTTGTTGTTTGTGAGGATGGAGCCTGGAAAGAGTAGGACGTTTGAAGTGTTTCGGTTGGATTCAAGTGATGAGAATGAAGTTTTGGTTGAGTTAACTAGCATGAGTGATAATGTGTTATTTGTGGATGGAGTTCAAACTATGGCTTTTTGTGCTGGAAAATTTGAGGGTTGTAGAGGGAATCACATTTACTTTGTGGATTATCTTGGTGGGGACGCTAAGGGGCTGAAGCTAATTGACATAGAGAAGGGTCAGATTGGACAAGTCCCGTTATTTCCCTTTACTCCTGAAAGGAGTTAAGGAACTGCTGCCTGGGTAGTTCCGAGTCTTAGATACTGATTTTGCTGAAATGAGGAAGACTCTTCATCAGGTAATTTTTACGACTACTTTCTTGATTTATGTTTTGAGTGAATGAACCCTGATTTGTTGACAAGATTGCTTGTTTTTGCTTTTCTTTATGAATGTTGTTATTAGTAAACATTCTTGCGAATAGAATTTTAGAAGTAGTGTTGTGCACTTGAGCACGAACAAACGCCTGCCTGCTCAGCCGGGTGGTTCAGTGGATGAGGGGCTGTGTCCATGCATGTGTGTATGTATATAATGCATGTTTTAATGTAAAACACTTGTCTTACTCTTATATATGTTGCCAACACACCGGATATCAGTATGTACCAGACATACCTTGAGTATATGCATTCATTTATTAACGCATGCGCTCTATTATATAATACACGTTTTAATGTAAAATACTTGCCATACTCTTCTTGGACATATATCATATGGTTCATATTAACTTCATGGAACTTGTTGGCATGAGTTGGATTCATTTCAGCCCATATCCTATTTGGAGCTATGATTTAAAGGATTGTATAGGTATCTACTTACACGAGCCTTGTCCTTGTATCCTACGCAAATTTTATGTGTCTTGTGCCCACACTTGCACCCATACAAGTACACGTTTCAATGCAGCCTATGGATGCTAATAGCTTTTTAATATGATACTGAACGTAAGTATATCCATGTTATCTTTATGCTTTTCTCCAACCATATGAATCATAATTGTATGGAACCCTTTTCATTCCAGTTCAAGGGACGGTACGGGAGCATGGTACGCCACTCATTAGGAATTGGGTACGAGGGTGTAGGCTTATACCGCACGCTAGGGAACATGTACGTTTTAGGTCCTGTTCTTAAGTGTATGAATCGGAGGTTTGCAAGAGTCAAGTTTAAGAAATATGCTAGTTGATATCACTAATGGTAGAACCTTGAGAATCATGTTTTTTGTGGTTTATTCTTCTAAAGAAGAACTTTTTTTTTTTAAATTTTAACTGGTTTGCATTCTTAATTAAATCGCTGTACTTGGTGAATAGGGTCGTGTTCCACCGCGAATCCGGGATGATTGAATTTAGATCGTGGTTCACTATAGCGTCTCACATTCCCAACTTCTATGGTATGAATTGTTTATTCAGTGTGAAATAAGAAGAGGAAAAGAAGTTGCTAGGTTGTACCTTAAAGAAAACTTATCAATATATGAGTGCAAGATCAATTTAAATAAAATTGAAAATATCTTAACTTCTCATGGTTTCCGATGTAATAAATCCAGTCTACAACATTTAATTTTTGGGTTTTTCTTATATTGGTCTCCAAATTGTTAATATTGGTCCCCCAAATTTGAAGTAGTTTAAAATAAGTTTCCATATACACACATTGATGGGGACCGGGCTGAGGGCTCCAATCCAATGGCAGGTGAATCTCACAAGCTAGCCCTTCGATAACTATTTTTCACTCGTTTGACACAGCTTGATGGACTGAGATCATACTCCTAGTGAGGGCAATTGCTCGGCCGCATGGGAAAAAGGCTCGTCCAGGGTCTACCAATGGTTGTTGATGGGCATCATCAGAATTGAAAGGGGTGCATAAACAGTAATACTGTACTGTTCCTGCATAAAGATAAGCACGCGTTTCAGTTGCTTGTGAACAATAACCAGGTTTTGGTCCTTGATAAATAGTATCAGAGTTACTGCTCATTCATTAATAGTAATGCTGCCTATAGGAATTTCTTTTCTTTTGAATTGTTTAAAATGGATGAAGAGTCTGTGATTTGACGGTAGGTTTTGTGGGCTTCTTGGGTGGATGGCTAGGATTGAAGTGGACTTTAGATTGAAGACTAAGGGTGCATTTGACAAACTCTTAAATATGGGCTCGGACTGAACTTTACCCAGTTTAGGTTTGCTTTTGATTGACAAAAACTGGACAGTTCTTACCCAATTTTCCTTAGGCCAAAAAAGGTCATAAAAACATTCTAGTGTTGGACCAGGGAGTAGTGGTCCAACACCAAAGTGATTTAGAGTAGAACTGGGCCAGAGTTGAACCTGGTCCAATTTTTGGGTGATTGCCAAGCACACCCTAAGATTGAAAGAGGAAGGTTTAAATCATATAAAGGCCTTCACACCAAAGGGGCAAATTCATATGCCAAAAAACACTCCATATGCTCAGGCAGTTAGCAAGTCCTATACTAAAGAGAATTTTCAGAACTCAAATTTTCATTCACGATAGTCTACTTCTTGAAGGATTACATAATTAAAAGATGCAATCTCGTCAAATATTAACTAAACTAGAACAAAATGACATCAATAAAAATAAAGTTCTAAATAAATCATTGAATCCTAACTAAAATTAAAGAATTAAAGCTTATATCAAATATTACTAATTATTTTAAAAAAACATTTTAATAGATTCTAAATTCTTCTGATGATGGTCCATGATAGTGCTGCTCATGTATACTTTAAATAAGTTGCCATTGTCATAAGTTGTATCAAATAGATCCTTCGTGTTAGAATTTATTATCTTTCATTGTGAACTTAAACATTTTTAAAGTTTTTGATTGTACCCTCATATTCTTTATAAAATTTCAGCTAATATCTATGTTGATCATTTCGGTTAACCCATTGGAGCCCATTTGAACAGTCTAATTCCTTCACTGTTCTCTCTGACTTGTTTTCGTCTCCCCTGTCTAGTTTTTTTTTCACTTGATAATTGTTTATCTTTATTGTGATTTCCGATTTCAGAAAATGTCAAGGTCATACAACAATATTAAGTTTTTTAAGGGTAAAAAATAACATGTTCTAAATTGAGGGATCTATTTGATACAAGTTATGAAATTTAGGTGACTTATTTGATCTATATGTGTTTTGGATGACTCATTTTAAAATACCTTAGATTTCACGAGATGTACACAACTTATTACAAAAATATTGTTACAAACTATTTTGGTATACAAAAGACAAAATCTCTTGCGAGTAATAAAATATCATCGATAAGGCGAGCGAAGGATGCAAGAGAAAGAATTTGAGCTGAGAGCAACAATTGCCGTAGAACAATCTAAAAGGCCATGTTCAATCGCAAATTCACAAATCAACAGATCATAGCAATGTTTCAGCGGTTGAGTCAGAGAAAACAGAATCACAATTTCATTGTCACGACGTACAACCTCAATACTGGCTGAATTTGTACTAGTATGACAAGCATCATCATAATTCAACTTGACATGAACTTGCTCAGAGACTGTCCAATACAAGTGTGAACCCAGAATGGACGCAGAAAGACACAGCACTTGAGCGTACTCCTCTAGAAAGAACAAAGTTCTTGCCATCACTTTACTTGCATCTCTTCC